GGCCAGGCATTGTGGTGGGAGCCTGTAATCCCAGCTACTTGGGAGGCTGAGGCAAGAGAATCGCTTAAGCCCAAGAGTTTGAGGTTGCTGTGAACTGTGACGCCACAACACTCTACTGAGGGCAACATAGTGAGACTTTGCCTCAAAAAAAAAAAAAGCATTATACAGAAAGTGCAGGGAAATACATGCTTTTCTAACCCCAGGACTGTCCATTTTAGAATCAAACACTTAGCTGGCCATTGTGTTTCTGGCACAGAGAGGAGAGACAGAAGATGTTCATCCTTCACCTAAGTTCTCACCACCCCATCACACGCCACTGGCATCCCCAGGGACACCCTTGTCTATAGCTGTCTAGACCACCCATGTATTTAACTTCACATGTAAAATATACATGCTATTTCATCACAGACACTTTGCAAAAAGAATCTTCTTGTGTCCTTTGCCTTCCCTCTGTCTCCTGACAGCCAGTGTCACAGTACGGTGTGAGATTCCCGCTGGTTCTCTGGGTTACAAACACATTGGCCCTCCCTCATGCGCTGTCCTCTGCTCTACAAGCTGAAACCTTGTTCCTGTGTCTCTGTAACTAGGACCAAAATTTTGTACTGATTTCTTTAATTATTCTCAACCAGGGTAACATTTTTGCTTGTCACACTTGCATGTTTGGAGATGCTACTGGCACCTAGCAGGTCACAGCCAGGGACACTGGCCTGCACCCTACAGTGCCTAGGACATCCTCGCCACAAAGAGTGACATGGCCCAGTGCTAACCATGCCAAGGTTGAGAAGCCTGGCCCCAGCTGAAGAGTATTAATGATAAAATTCATGTCAAAATGCCCTTTGGAACCTCCACCACTGAACACATTGCTTCAGTAAACTCCATCCTGTCCCACCACACCCTCCCAGGACTCTGGCCATTCCTAACACCTTCTTATCTCCTGTGGTGAACACCCCCACTAAGGGAGGTTGGGGATAGACACCTGGGCTGAGTGGTACCACTCACTTATTCTGGCCAAGAGTCCGGTGCCCAGTGGGGTAGGGAAAGCCCTCAGAGGGCCAATGGGCTGCCCACTCCCCTCAGAGCTGCATTCACACTGCTGCAGAAACCCTCCAGACAGCCAGACACATGGACACATGGCCCAGCGTCCTCCACAGCAATCGGCTCCCCCTAGACCTGCCCAGAACAGTCTCACTGCTGCCGGAGCTCTGGCCAACAGGCCTGGGGTCCCACTTCCCATGTGTGTGGGACCGGTGCTGATGCCCATCTCCCAAAGATACCATCTGGCTCTCGGCAACCTGCCAGGAAGAGTGTGGGGGCTCTGGCTCCACTCAAGCTGTCTCCTAGGAGAAAAGCTGTAAGCTCAGGGGGCTGGATCTCATCCAGACCGGGAGGGAATCTACCAAGAAGAGGTGCCTCTCTTGTGGTGCATCCTAAGCGAGGTCCTCCTGCCCCCAGCTTACCTGAGCACAGCGGGAGGGAGGGGCATGACACCTCATGCCCTGGACAGTGTTTACCAGTCCAGCCCCGGACGTGTCTGCTGGGTGTGCTTGGGCGTGGGCGGGCGGTCTGACAGCTCTGCTGCACTCCACCCTGGGAGAGTCTCCTTGAGGGGGTGGGAGTACAAGGGAAGTGTTGTGGGGAGCGGTGCCCCAGGAGTGTGGACTGAAGGCTCTGGGAGCCCCTCCCCCAGCGCCTCCCCAGTGCCAGCCTAGCAGGAGCTGCTCCCTCCTGTCTGTCCTGAGAATCCAGAGAGCCTCTGCCCGGGAGCAGGTACAAACCACAGGCCAGCACGTTGTAGCCAGCTCAGGACTCCTCTGTGGCTCCCCTGTTAGTTACCCTGACACCAACATCAAGGCAGGAGTAAGAGGAGGCTTGTTAGGAGTGAAGGCGATGGAGGTGCTTCTAGGCTGGGGTCTGCTTTTCTCATTCCCAATCTTGCCTTGGGCCTGGGGCGTCCTGACCCTTCCCCTCTCCTACAGAGGTGGTAGCTCTTTCCCCATGTCACTGCTGCATTGTTCAGCCCTCCTGTCCCTGGAGCAGAAGGAGGGGCTAGTATTGCTGGCAGCCAGGTTCAAATCTACTCCCTGCCTCCGGCAGAGAGTCCTGGTCCCAGGCCTTGGCTTCCTTGGCTTTGAGATGGGATGGTCCTAACTGTAAGAGATGTGAGAGGCTGGTCAGCGAGACAGAACCTGGCCCAGGAGCTGAGACTCTGGGCCCTGGGCAGTAGGAAGATGGCCAGGAGGTGCACTGGGGGCTCTGAACTGGGAGGGGGGCCTGGGTATGTCTCTCCTATCCCCTGCGGTGCCTGTGGGGCAGTCATTTGATCTGTTAGACCTTAGATGCCTCCTGATAATAGCCACCTCCCCACCTGACTTTGCAGCGGTCAGTGAGCTGTTCATAGCACTCAAAAAGTGGTGGGAGTGGGGGTTAGTCACATTTTTGTGGCTGGTGAGGCTAGCAAAGCCACCTGTTGCATCTCTGGGTCAGCGCCTCCTTGTCCCTTGCCACCCCCACTGCCCCCAGCCTGACCATTTCAGGAAATGTGTCTGATTTTGCTCCTCTCTGCTCCAGAGGCTCCCGACCACACTCACAGGAAATGTATGTCTTCCCTGTGGCCTCCTCTATCTCCATCCTCTTTCCTCAGGCTCCTCAGCCTCACCCCAACCTCCACTGAGTCCAGGCTCAGGGCCTGAGGGCTTTGTACCTGCTGACCCAGGAACTTCTTCCTGTTCTGCAGACTCTGAGCTCCCAGCTTCTAGGACAGTGCCTGGTCCACAGCAGATGCTCAGAAAAGTATTTCCTGATGGACAGAGGAAGGAGGGGTGGGAGGGCGGAGGAAGGAGGGAGGGAGTATGGGCCAGAGAAATGGGAAATTTCTGGTGTGGATACCTGTTTGAAGAGATAACAGTTGAGGGAGCAGAAAAATGGGGTGCCCCCTGGTGGGAAAAGTGTGGTCCAGAGGTTCTCAAAACTTTTCCCAGCCAGGTGCAGTGGCTCACACCTATAATCCCAGCACTCTGGGAGGCCGTGGGTGGATCTCTTGAGCTCATAAGTTCTAGACCAGCCTGAGCAAGAGCAAGACCTTGTCTCTAAAAACTAGCCTGGCATTTTGGCAGGTGCCTATAGTACCAGCTACTCAGGAGGCTGAGGCAAGAGAATCACTTGAGCCCAAGAGTTTAAGGTTGCTGTGAGCTATGATGCCATTGCACTCTACTGAGGGTGACAAAGTGACACTCTGTCTCAAAAGAAAAAACTTTTCCTAAGGGAAATTCCAGCTTGCTTGTATGCTGGTGGGGTTGACACAGGGCTGGGCTGTGGGATTGTCCCCCCCAGCTGGAGCCCAGACCCCTCTCATCGCACGCCCCCCACGCAGTCTCTTTTGTGAGGCCATGATACCATCCCTGGGGTATTTATCATCATAACCAATATTTGATCACTTATGTGTAGATCTTGCCCTAAAGACTGAGAGCCCCCAAGTCACCTGCTTCTCTTATCAACTGGCCAGTTGATTCTGGACTCTGCAAAGTTCAACGGCATTTTGTTCCACTTGAGATAAGAAAAACACGCAGCTGACACATAATTTTCTGAATCAATCGTATTTTAAAAAATTAGCATCAAACATCATTTTAGGAATGACACAACTATTTTACATTAACAAAACCTGAAAAGGTAACTTTTGGTTTGTCAGGGTGCTAAAAATATCCTACTCTGCCCACAGAACTTTTCTCCACATTGCCTGTTTCAAAGCACATATAAACACAGAGAAGCCATTTTTCCATTCTTTCAGTATTTTCCAAAGCTTCATACCTCAAGTTGGCACTACACAGGCAGTTATTCTTATTTTCTTATTTTTTCTTTCTTTTTTTTTTTGAAGGCAGAGTCTTGGTCTGCCGCTCGGGCTAGAGTGCTGCAGCCTCCAACTCCTGGGCTCCAGTCTCAGCCTCCCGGGTAGCTGGGACTACAGGCATGTCACACAGCAGCCAGCTAATTTTTCTGTCTTTTTGTGGAAACCGGGTCTCACTCACGCTGATCTCCAACTCTGGGCCTCAAGTGATGCTCCTGCCTGAGCCAGTTGTTCTTCAGTTGTGTCATTTTCCTCCGTGTACGTTCCCTAGCTAGATTGCAAACCGGGTGAGGGCAAGAGCTATGCTTTGTGTGTGACAGCCAGGCGGAAATGTGGGGCTTGGGGTGCAAGGGAGGAAGGGGGCGGAAGCGCGCGGGCAGGTTCCCTGACACACAGCCCCGTTCTCACCAATTTACCAGCTTCACACACCACACCTTTATGTTACTTGGCCTTTCCTGAAACACAAAACTGGGGGAAAGCCCTTCAGCTCCCACATGTGCTGGCTAAGGAAGGGCACTTCGAGAGGACCCGGGCTAGCCTAGTGCGCCACTGGCTCTTGGGTCCCCAATCTCTTGTTGGCTGATCAAAAATATGGCCAGTTTATATAAAATCCTGCTTTGTTCACAGTAACCACACCCTCCTCACAGTCCCCCCAAACTGGCCAGGGTACTTAAAACGTTACCGCCTCCCTTTGAAAAGGGGGTCTTCGGTGAGTTTCCCCAGGACACCCGTCCACAGGGGGCGTGGGGGGGGGGGACACAGGGAATGGCGCCTGATCCAAAGGGGCCATCGCCCAACCAGAGACTAGACTCTCAGGAAGGTAGTGGTGACAGAGGAGTAAGCAGTGTGCCCCTTGAGAGCCAAGCTCGAGAAGCAGGGCTAGGCGCGGGTCCCCGCGCGCAAGCCGCCCCGAGGAGGGCACGGGGCCCGCAGAGGCCAGGTGTGCGGCGCTGGTCCTGGTCCTGCGTGGCTGGTGGGGCCGGGCCCGGCCGGGTGCAACAAAAGCCGGGCCGGGAACGGCGGCCAGGCGCGGGCGGCGCGGGCTGGGGGCCGCCGGGAGCGCCCGGAGCCCGCATTGGCCGCCCGCCACCGGGGGCGGAGCCGAGCGCAATAAAAAGGCGGCGCGGCCCGCGCCCGTAGCCAACGCGTCCCCGGGAGGAACCGCGGAGCCGAGCAGGGCTACGGCACGCTCGCCGTCTCCACCCTTCTTCCTCTGCCCGGTGGCCGCGCCCCCGCCGCTCTCTCGCCGCCCCCGAGACAAAGAGCCCTGAAAGTTCGCGCGGCGAGTGGGTCAGGTGAGGAGGGCGCGCCGCGGAGGCCCGCCGAGCCCCCGGCCCGGCGCCCGGGGCCGAGCGCACAGCCCGCCCCGCAACCCGTCCGCAGCCCGCGCAGAGGAGCGCCCGGCCCCAGGCGCCGCCCGCCCCGCCGACTCCCCAGCCCACCATGGGCGCCGCGGCCCGCAGCCTGCGGCTGGCGCTCGGCCTCCTGCTACTGGGGACGCTGCTTCGCCCGACCGACGCCTGCAGCTGCTCCCCAGTGCACCCGCAACAGGCGTTTTGCAATGCAGATGTAGGTAAGAAGCGGCGCCCCGCGCCGGCGGGCCACCTTCCTCGCCTCTTGGCGACCCCAGCCTTCGCCGGCGTCCGCCCGCCCGCCACCCTCCTTAGCCCTTTCTAGAATCCTGCAAGCGGACGCCCAAATTCTACTTTATTTTTCCCCTCCCTTCTCTCCCCTTCTTTCCCTCTCTTTGCTGAGATGCTTTGCAACCTCAAAATTCCACCGAAATTCCGCTGCAGCTCCAGCCCCAGAAAAGGGAGCCAGGGAACGTCTTGGGTTTTGGCAGGCAGAGCTCCCTGGGATGCCAGTCCTGGGGGCGGGGAGAGTAGGGGACACAACGTGGGGTGGGGGTGAGCTGGGGGACTGGGGACCCCGGGAAGAAACTTTCACAGGTGAGGTAAGGTGGGAGTTGGGCTTCTCTGGGCTTGGGGTCTGGTGGCAAGGTCATCTCTCTTGGGGCTTCTCCCAGAACCCCCATTTGGGGCACTTACAGATCAAGCTAGGGTAGGATGGAAGCCCATCCCCCGCCCCTGACCCGAGTTAGGTTCCACTGGCTCTAAGGGGCATGTGAGAAAAACCAGTGCCATCCCATGGGCTAGCTCCCTGCTTGGGGCCCTGCCCAGAAGGCCCCACAAATGGCTGGGCACGGACCAGGACCCCTGAGGGTTTGCTGCCAGTGGCTATTTTTTCAGGACATCAGCAAGAACTGGAAAAAACTGGAGACTTTGCAGGTGGGACTGTGTGGCTGCTTAGATATCCATTACTGCCAGGATGCCTCTCCCCCAAGGCAGGGTGATAGTAAGGGAGGAAGGAGGGGCCCAGTTGTTTGTTCTGATCCACAGACGCAGCAGAAATGTAAGGGAACAGCTAACTGGAGGCTTCCACCCAGGGCTGACACCTGCAGGCCTCCTCAGCACTGGTGCTGGCCACAGTGGTTTTCCGTATATGGATATGGCAGCCTCTGTGCCCTGTGCCAGGCCAGGTGTGGCAAGACTGGCATCCCTCACCTGCCTAGACAGAAGCCAGGGTTGTCCACAGTGCCCTTGAGATGCCCCCTCCTATGACTTCTTGCCTCACCCCAATTAGTTCTTTTAGCTGCCAGCTTGGGGGGGTTCAGCTGCTCCTATCTGTGGAGACCATGTGGTCTGGCCAGCTGGGTTGAGGGCATGGTACCTGCTTGCAGAGTAGTTTCCATAAAACCCAATTAGGGGGAATAAGGCCTTTTCTACAATTTGGTTTTGGTGCTCAGCAAGATTTGGGGGCAAAGGAGAGGACGCTTCTTCAGTAAGGAAGCTATGATAGGCCTTTATCTGGGGTGTCCCCCAAGAAGCTAGACCAGTACAGGCTCCTTGGCTGACCAGAGGGTGTGGCACAGAATCAAGCCAGGACTCAGCAGGAAACTGAGGCTTGGAGGACTCTGGTTCATAGGAGCAGAATGGGAAGGAGCTGGGCCTTGGGACCACTCCATACTCCTCAGCGCCATGGGGAGAATTTCCAGGCAGCCGCTTCTGTTTCTGCCTTGGGTTTGGACCCGGCACAGCAGGGGCCGAGCAGCTGTGGTGCATGCCTGCAGGCTCCTGCCTCAAGAGTTGGTCTCCTCTGCCTGGATTTTCTGGTGTGGGTGTCCAAATCATTGCATCAAAATCATTCTGTAGCTAAAACTTTTAACCCCATCCCTGCTCAGAGGCCTAATGGGATGCCAGGGTTGTACTGCAAAGCCCAGTGTGTTAGTGTCCTGCAACTGCTACAAGTCACCACAAACCAGTGGCTTAAAACAACAAGAATTTATTCTTGCACAGTCCAGGAGAGCAGAAGTCTGAAACCAGGGTGTCTGCAGAGTTGGTTCCTTCTGCAGGCCATGAAGAATCTACTCTGTGCCTCTCCCCAGCTCCCAGGGGCTCCAGATGTCGTTGGTGTTCTTGGCTTGTCATGTCAGTGGGTCTGCAGTCTCTGCCTTTGTCTCCACAATCTGTGCCTCTGTGTCCAGGTTTCCCTCTTGTGGGACACCAGTCATTGGATTTGAGGCCCACCCTTACCCAGTATGACCGCAACTTCATTACATCAGCAGAGAGTTCTGGCTGGCCATGGATTTGAAGTGCACTCCAGTGCACCCAGACTGCCCTCTCTTGTTCCCAGTCACCCCCTCTGTGCTTGGCTGACTCCAGATAAGCAGCAGAGGCTACCCTAGGGTAGGGATGGAATAAACCCCACAGTGACAATATTCTGTCTATTCTCCAGTGCTGTATTGTCTTAAGTGGTGTGGGTCTGTGCCTCGCTCAGCAATGGTTCCCCATTCTGGCTCAGAGCAGAATTGCTTGGAGGGCTCTTATGTTGACACAGCTCTGGGTCCCTCTGCAGATACTGGGATTTAGCCTAGACCTCAGCTTCTGTAGTTTTAAAAGTTCCACAAATGACTTTGTGGAACCATGGCTTGGCCCTGGGGTCTTGGAACAGTGTGTCCACTGGGGGTTAATAAAGGGTTGTGTGGCGTGCTGACTCCTTCTGCCTGTGGCTGTGTGCAGGTCTGGTAAATGGCTCGGTGTCTACAGGAGGCGACTGGCTCAGAAAACAGTGAGGTTTCTGTCTGCCCTGGTAAGGGTTTCAGGAGGCATCTCCCTGGTCACTCATACCTAGTGGGATCAGAGCTGTAGCAGGCAAAGAAAACTTGTTTGAGAATGAAAGGTTGTGGCATTTAGGATAAAGGGATCCTAGGAGATAGTCTGGTTTCTTCCTGGAGGGCCCCAGGACAAACAGGAAGCCTGGTGTGTCTCAGTCATAGTACTGTTCAGATGTGCTGCTGGCCTGATTCCCTCCTGCCTAATGGAGGCCGTCACTGCCTCCCGCATGGCTGTGCGGCTGTGGTGATCTGGCTGGAAACCAGCGCTGGGCTCACCATTCAGGCAGTGCCATGGCTGGAGCCTGGAGTCACTAAGCCAGCTGAGCTACTTGCCAGACACAGGCTGCTTTGGCTGATGTCTGGGATCAAGGGTAAATCCAGAGAATAAAACCACCTCCCTGGTCCGGGTGGCGATGCCCAGGAAGACCTCTGCAATATCCTCTCTCTCAAGAGCCCCCTGTCTAGAAATTGCTTTCTGTACACCCTCTGAGGATCTCCAGCAGAGGCTCAAGAGGGGTCTGCAGCCAAAGCCTGAAGGGCCAGACCACTGGTGGCCCACTTCCTACAGGGCATGGTGAGAGGGGCTACCCAGAAGACATGCAGCACACCCTCAAAAATGTCTCTGTCTTCATGACACATGTGCTCAAGGAAAGCATCGGGGATGTGGGCCAAGTGAGGCCTGCAACGCAGGGGGCTGGGCACTGCTCTTTGAATCAGCTGTTGGTGACCTCCTGTGAAGTGTGTGATTGATCCATGTTGCCTGTGTTGTACAGCTTGATTTTGCTATTAAACGTGTCTGTGTTTCAACAAGCAGTTATGGAACCGCGGACTCTGCACTGGGGGAATGTTAAGGTAGAAGACTGTTGTCCCTGCCCTCTGGAGGGGAAAATTGCATATCTAGAAGTCAGGATAAAATGCGTGGTCAGGGTGAGCAGGCCTCCTGCAGACCCTCTCTGACGGCCAGGGCATGGTATAGAACCAACTTTCCTAATGCCGCAACCCTTTAATACAGTTCCCTGTGGGTTGCAACCCACAGGTTGAGAACCACTGGTATAGAGTAAATCAGACTCACGTGGTTTTGCAAATAATTGCCATTGCATAAACTTTTTAAGTAACCAAAATTCAGAAGTAGCCAGGTGACGATGTGAAATGCATTTGCAGGATTTAAGGATAGAGAGCTCAGTGGTAGGCTGAGGAGAGGACTGTGGGTAAACGGGGGCTCTTTGGCTCTTTTGGATGCTGCCCCTGGCGGAATCTGTCAGGGGAGCGCCTGGAACCTGAGTTGTGGCAACTCCCAGGGTTGGGAGCCTGGAATAGGAGAGAGGTAAGTGTGAGGCCTGGAGGTGTCACGGGTGCTGGAAGGAACTTCCCCGATGCCACATGGCCCTCCCTGTCTGAGCTGGGGACAGCACCAGCCTGGGAACCTTCTGGTGGTGCCACGTCAGTCATACAGTCCTGCCTGGGGTCTGGGCACCATGGGCAGACTTGGGTCCCTGCCTCCCTCCTCCCTGCTGTCTGGTCAAGTGCATCCCACCAGTGCATACCCCAGGTCTAGATCCTTTGGTGACATTTCGGCACATGTGGGATGGAACATGGAGGACTTCCAGGCTTATGGGGAGGGTCGGGCAGCCATCCTGGTGCTGAGATACAATCACCAATGCAGGGCTCAAGGGCACAGGTAGGGGTGAGCCTCTTGGGTCCCCAAACAACTAAGAGATGTCCTTTGAGGATCCCAGGCAGCTGGGAAGGTGGAAAAAAACAGCAGCAGAAAGAAGCAGCCTGGGAGGGGCTCAGTGGGAGGCAGGAGTGGCAGAGGTGGAAAGGGGTGACCCCAGGGCTGCCCTAAGTACTCCCTCTGCCCATGCACACACCCTGGCAAGCCAAGGACCCAGTGTTCTTGTGGCCAGGATGGTCTTTCTCAAGAGGGAAAGTGGAGTTAAATCCAAGTTAAGGGCTGGGCGTGGTGGCTCACACCTATAATCCTAGCGTTGGGAAGCTGAGTGTGGAGGATTTCTTGAGGTCAGGAGTTTGAGACCAGCCAGAGCAAGAGTAAGACCCATTTCTTAAAAAATAGGAAAATTAGTCAGGCACGGTGGTGGGCACCTGTAGTCCCAGCTACTTGGGAGCCTGAGGCAGGAGGATTGCTTAAACCAGTGGTTTTCAACCTTCCTAATGCCTCCTAATGCCGCGACCCTTTAATACAGTTCCTCATGCGGTGACCCCCAGCCATAAAATTATTTTTGTTGCTACTTTGTAACTATAATTTTGCTACTGTTATGAATCATAGTGTAAATATCTGATATGTAGTATGTATTTTCATTGTTACAAAGGGGTCGTGACCCACAGGTTGAGAACCACTGGCTTAAACCCAAGAGTTTGATGTTGCTGTGAGCTATGAT